CCGGACATGTCCGGGAAAATCCGGACGTATGGTAACCCTAATTTTATAGTACTACTCTTCCCTTTATAGTTATGACACCTCCTCTTGCATCTTATGTTTGTAGCAAGGCAACAGTGACACCTGCTGATTGATTGTAGGCACTGCATGCATTTTAAAGCAGGGATGTCAAACTCATTGGGAGAACAGGGCCAAATTCCATTTTTAATTATGGTCTACAGCTAGTTTCCTAATGATGTCAGTGGTAGGTTTGAACAGAGCTCAAGGGGGAATCTGGCCTTTTTATGTTAACTAAGCTCTTGATTATTCTCATTATTGCTTATTCAGTCACTTACTGTCACATTCCATTATGTTCCATTCTATATGCATCCGAAGAAGTGGGCTGTAGTCCACGAAAGCTTATGCTCTAATAAATTTGTTAGTCTCTAAGGTGCCACAAGTCCTCCTGTTCTTCTTCTTGTCACATTCAGCGTCGCTGACTGGGGGAACTTGCTCTTCTTTGGGACGCTGCTATTCCTGCTCTTTGTTGCTTTTCCTCTCCCGTCCTCGTTTCTGTTTCCCTTCCCCTTCCCTGTGGTTATTTCTCTGCTCCTTTCTTCCCTCTGCATTTCCTCCCCTGCAGCAGTTCTCTAATCAAGAGCCCCAGGGGTTTCACTCCCACACCATTCTCCTTCTGTCTGCTGAAATGACAAAACAGCTAACTAGTTAATGCCGGTATTAAATATGTCCTCATGAGGGTTTAGAGTGAACACTGCAATGAGATGAATTGACACCTCTCAGAGCAATTGGCTCAGGCTCTCTGCAGACTCAGGCAATGTTGTGGCAGCTTTTCCCCTCAGCTCTACTGGCTCAGGCTCTCTATAAACTCAGGCCGATGTTGCTGCATTGATTACACTTGGGTCACATTTGGAAGGTTCATTTTGGTACCATGAAGGCTGACAGTGATAGTTTTAAAAAGATGAAAGCTGAGTGGCTACAGGGAGGCAGTGTGGTCTAGTGAATAGAGTGCTGGCTCTGCCACTGGCCTGCTGGGTGATCTTGGTCAAGTCACCTCGCCTATCTGTTCCTCAGTTTCCCCATCTGTAAAATGGGGATAATGATACTGACCACTTTCGTAATGCACTTTGAGATCTACGGGTTTAAAAAGCTATATAAGGACTAGGTATTTTTATCATTATTTAATGATTGTTACAGAATTTGACTGTGCCATGCAGGTCACAGCAATACATTGGGGGTTGACTGTTGACTTCCATGGGAGCAGCATTAGCCCAGGCTGAGCAGTTTTGAAAGTCCTGCCCTACATGGGAAAGCTGTTTAACACCCCTGCCCTGAAGGTAACACCCAGCACTTGTGTCCATGAATAAATCTGGTAAATAGGCATTTTCGCTGTACAGTCCAGGGGGTTCTATCACACGACCTGATTTCCAAGTAGGAGCTTGACTTTGATTTGGGGATCGTTTCTCTCTATAAATCTCACCCTGTTTTATTGCTGATAATTTTAGTCCCTTGCAGCAGCCACCAGACGTTCTGGAGCCTGTGTCTGAAGGGTTTTTCCCTCTGATTCAGGTGGGGTGGGAGAAAGATGCTCTTACCCCTTTTTACTTTTCAGTGTCAAAGGCCAATGTGACCACTCCCGACAGCCCTGCCGCCTGCTGCCCTGAAAACTGGATCGGGTACCAAGGAAAATGTTACCTTTTCTCTGAGGATGAAGCAAACTGGACCTCAAGCCAACATTCCTGCTCTTCCCACGGTGCCTCCTTGGCTTGGCTTGACACCCTGCAGGAAAAGGTGATTAAATTAAAAAAAAAATGATGATTGTAGGTACCGATTAAAGTATCTCAGCTCAGGAGAAACGGATAGCACCCTCCAAAACAGAGTGAACCCATTTCTGAATGCAAAATACAAATTATATTTATTTGCATTGTAGCAGTGAGCCTCAACTGAGATCAGGCCCCGTTGTGCCGGGCGCTGCACAGACACACAGTGAGAGACAGTCCCTGCCCCAGCTGAGATCAGGGCCCCGTTGTGCCGGGCGCTGCACAGACACACAGGGAGAGACAGTCCCTGCCCCAGCTGAGATCAGGGCCCCGTTGTGCCGGGCGCTGCACAGACACACAGCGAGAGACAGTCCCTGCCCCAGCTGAGATCAGGGCCCGTTGTGCCGGGCGCTGCACAGACACACAGGGAGAGACAGTCCCTGCCCCAGCTGAGATCAGGGCCCCGTTGTGCCGGGCGCTGCACAGACACGAAGAGAGAC